AAAATCCAATGCTAAAAGCCAATGCTAAAAGCCAATGCTAAAAGCGAATGCTAAAAGCCAATGCTAAAAGCCACTGCTAAAAACCAATGACAAAATCCACTGCTACAAGCCAGTGCTAAAAGCTCATGCGAAAAGCCAATGCTACAACCCAATGCTAAAACCCAATGCTAAAAGCCAATGCTAAAAGCAAATGCTAAAAGCCAGTGCTAAAAACCAATGCTAAAAACCAGTGCTGAAAGCCAATGCTAAAAGCCAATGCTAAAAGCCAATGCTAACATCCAATGCTAACATCCAATGCTAAAATCCAATGCTAAAACCCAATGCTAACATCAAATGATAACGGCGCCGAACTCTCGCGCGCCGAAGCCCGCGGCGCCGAAGTCATGCGGCAACCGCGGCAAGGGGCTAAAATCCAATGCTAAAATCCAATACTAAAATCCAATGCTAAAAGCCAACGCTAAAAGCCAATGCTAAAAGCCAATGCTGAAAGCCAATGCTGAAAGCCAATGCTAAAAACCAATGAAAAAAAAAGCAACTGCTAAAAGCCAGCGCTAAAAGCTCATGCGAAAAGCCAATGCTAAAATCCAGCGCTAAAAGCCAATGCTAAAATCCAATGCGAAAACCCAATGCTAAAATCCAATGCTAAAAGCCAGTGCTAAAATCCAATGGTAAATGCCGATGCTGAGAGCCAATGCTGAAAACCAATGCTAAATGCCAATGTTAAAAGCCGATGCCAAAAGCCAATGCTAAAAGCCAGTACTAAAATCCAATGCTAAAAGCCATTGGTAAAAGCAAATGCTAAAATCCAATGCTTAAATCCAATGCTAAAATCCGATTCTAAAACCCAATGCTAAAATCCAATGCTAACGGCGCCGATCTTGCGCGCCGAAACCCGCGGCGCCGAAGTCATGCGGGAACCGCGGCAAGGGGCCACAATCCAATGCTAAAATCCAATGCGAAGGCAATGCTAATATCCAATGCTAAAATCCAATGCTAAGATCCAATGCTAAAAGCCAATGGTAAAAGCCAATGCTAAAACCCAATGCTAGAATCCAATGCTAGATTCCAATGCTAAACTCCAATGCTAAAATCCAATGCGAAAGCCCAATGCTAAAACCCAGAGCTAAAATCCAATGCTAAAATCCAATGTTAAAATACAATGCTAAGATCCAATGCTAAAAGCCAATGATAAAATCAAATGCTAAAATCAAATGCTAGAACCCAATGCTAAAACCCACTGCTAAAATCCAATGCTAAAATCCAATGCTAAAATCCAATGCTTAAATCCAATGCTAAAATCCAATGCTAAAATAAACGCCGCTGTGCACTTACAGCTCAAGGCCACTGTGCACTTGCAGCTTGCCATATTGGGGTGCCGCCTTTTCTCTTGGCGCGCATGGCGCGCGCGCGCGCGGTTCCCCGTGCGAGTGTCGGGCGCCCCGCCTCGGGGGGAAGGAGCGCCGCGCACTTCTTTTCTCCCTCCTCTCCGCGGTGCTGGTTACGCTGCCAGCCTGAGTGCCCGAGCCTCGGGACACCGTCGGGTTGGAGGGGTCCCGCGGTGCCGAGCGCGGGGGTGGGCGCAGGTCCGCTCCGACCGTGGCTCACTTTCTGGTGCTGGCTCCAGCGCCGTCTGCGTCGGCAGCACACTCTTCGGCCCTGGGCCGTCTTGGGGGCCCCTTGGGCCGTCTTGGGGTCGCCTGCGGGGCCTCCTGGGCCGCCCTTGAACATCGGCGGCCGAAGCCGCGAGAACACCCGATTCAAACACCACCGCAAAATCATCGAGACTTGGATCCTGGAGACTGCGTCGGGCGCTCTCGGAGGCCCCAATTGGGGCGTCCTGGGAGCCTCTTGGGCCGCCTCAGGGCCCATCGTCGGCGTCTTGGTTCGGCCGATCGGCGACGCGAAGCCCTTTTGGACCGCCTGGGCGGCCTCTTCGGGCCCTGTCGGACAATGCCGGGGCCTTCCCGCGCCGGGAAAAGTCGCGCGTCAAGCCGCGGGCGAGCTCGCGAGGATCGTCGGGGGGGCCCAAGAATACTTGGGGGTTCGAAGCCTGGCCCCCACAATGCGGTTTTATCTGGGGGTCTGGGGGGGCCCGCGGGAGACCTAGAGTCACTCCAACTCGCGCCTCGAGGCGCGGCGGTGGAGGGTGGCGCGCGCCGGGCGATTTTGCCGCCGCAGCCAACCGAACGCCTATCCCCCCACCTTGCTCTGGAAGTGCGACCATGCAAGGGCGCGGCCTGTTGACCATCCGGACCGCGGCCCGAAGCTTGCCGCGCGCTTGGGAAAGCAGGCGGCGCTCGACTGCAATCCACCACATCCACCTTCGCCGCCTGCTTCACATCTCCCCTCGCCGCCCCGCTTCTCCCGCGCTTCCGCCATCCCCGACCTTCCTTGCCACGGTCCCCCCGATGGCTCTCCGGTGCAAATATCCCCTCTTTATGCTCGCACAAATCCCTCCCACCTCGCTGGTGCGACGCGGGCGCTGCAGGACCTCGTCAGGTAGCGGATCCGGCTCGGAGCCGAGATCGGCGCCCACGGTCGGCGCGACCCCCTGCATGGCCACGACGCGCGCGAGGGGCGTGGCGAAGTGATTTGGGGGCGCGCGCGATGTTTCGCGCCGTGGTCGTCTCGCCCCCGCTCTCGGGCGTTCCGCGGGGACTGTCCAATGTAGGATTGATGTCTCGTCGTCTGGCCTGCCCGCGCAGCCTGGAATGCACGGCCGCGCCGCGCAGTCGGCAGGCGCGCGCCTCGCGCGGCAGCTTGCATCGCAGAGCTTGCGCAACTGTGGCTCGTGCATTGCTTGCGCCGCCTAGCTCTGCGGTCAACCTGATGCCGCGCATAGGTTTCGCGCGACGCACGCAGGACATCGCGCAACCGCCCAACGAATAGCTGCAGACCCGCGGCTCCCATCACAGCTTGCAGCGCGCGCCTTGCACCGCATTGCTGAAGCATCGCAGCGTGCGCTGCGTCGCCCGCGCCGCGCATCTCATTCCGCGCGCCTCACACCTAGCAGCTTGCACCGTTAAGCAGGCGCCGCGGAGCTCATGCCGCGTAGCTTACACATCATAGCTGGCACCGCAGAGTCGCCACAGCATAGCTTACACCACGCGGCATGCACCGCATAGCAGACACTGCGTCATAGACCATGTGCTCTGCACCTATAGATCACGCCGCGCGGCGGCTCGCGCCACGCGCATCGCACCGCGCAGCTCGCTTCCGCATAGTTCGCGCCACTTTGCCAGATGGGGCCCCATCATGTAGCGCGCGCCCCACCGACTAATGAACCGCCGTTCGCGGCTCGCGAGGGCTCGCCGCTTCGAGCCCAGCGCGTGACTCGCTGTTTGGGGTCCACGTTGCTTGGGGCCCACGGCGCAGGAACCCGCTGTCTCGGGTTCGCCGCTCCATTCTCCGCCGCCAAGTCCGTTCAAGACGAGCGTCGCCATCTTCCATATTCTATATGAGGTCGACGCCGGAGTTCCTCTCTACTGACGCCCAGTTCGCCCGAGGATTGACTGGCAAGCCCCGGCGAGCCCGCGAGGCAAGTTCCCACGATGGGCTAAGATGCTGCGGCCATCGGTTCGCCCCGACGAGGAGGGAGAAACGGGGGGGCGGGACAGGGAAACGGACGAGAGAACGGAGGGGGGCGGGGGAGATAACCGAAGAGAACAAGAGAGGAGAGAGAGAGAGAGAGAGAGAGAGAGAGAGAGAGAGAGAGAGAAAAAATAAATAAATACAGAGAGAGAGGAGACAGAGAGAGAGACAGACAGACAAGAGAGAGAGAGAGAAAGCAACAAGAGAGAGAGAGAGAGAAAGAGAGAGAGAGAGAGAGAGAGAGAGAGAGAGAGAGAGGGAGGGTGGGCGTCACAATGGGATAGTTGCGCAAAGTAGAATTGAGGGGAGAGAACGAGAGGAAGGAGGTCAGGCACTGACAGATAGAGGGAGGGGAGAGAGAGAGAGAGAGAGAGAGAGAGAGAGAGAGAGAGAGAAAGAAAGAAAGAGAGAGAGAGAGAGAGAGAGAAAGAAAGAGATGGATAAATATGGACAAAGAAAGATCGACAGCGAGAAACGAAAGAGGGAGAGGGGCACTTTTTGGTCGACGGGTCGGGAGCGGGCCTCTTCCGGTTAAGAGCTAGGCAGGTCGCGCGAAGCATTAATTGGGTAGACAGGGCGCGGGCGGGCGGGGCCTCGGGCGGCCGGAGGGCGCGGAGCACAGGCGGCGCCGAAGAGCTTGCACAGGAAAAGGTACACTGTGGACAGGAGCCAGGGGTGAAGTCCCGGAGGGAGAGCGAAGTGGCGCTGCCGTCGACGGCGCGCCAGAATCACAATCCTCAAGTGCTGCGCGGGGAGGGCCGCGACGAGGTCGACGCCCGCGAGGTAGAGGAAGACCAGGCAGGCGAAGTGCACCAGCTGCCGCCGACTGGTAAGGAGAGGCCCAGGAGATGAGGGCGACCACGAAGGCGAAGCGCAAAGTTGCGCCGCCGGGTTGTCGGTAGCGGCCTGGGGCGGTAGTCCAATCCACGCCCAGGTAGCAGCCGAGAGGTTCAGCGAGGGGGAGGAACGCGCGTGGGACAGATAGTGACGGAGGAGAGAAGCGGGGGAAGATGATGAGAAGAGAAGGGGGGGGCTGCGGAGACTTGCGCGGCCGCTAAGACGCCGCGGCGGATATCGCGCCCATCCCGATGGGGCAGAACGCTTCGCGATTTCAGGGCCACAGAGCAGCGCGACAGAGTCATCGAACTGCACTCGCCATCCACGAAGGCATAGGCGGCGGCGGCGGACTCGACGGCCTCGGAAGCGGCAGACGCGGGGGCGGGGGCGGCACGGGGCCCGCCGCGCCAACAACCAGACCCACGCCGTGCGGCGGCGGCGTTGCGAGCGGCGGCATCGGCGCGGGCGCGCCCGCGGCGCCGCCCTCAACCGTGCGCGCGCAGGCGGGCGCATCAGCGGCGGCGACCGCCATTCGTCCTCAGGCAGCTGCTGCGGCGTCTGCCCTTCGCCAGGCAGCGGCGGCAACTGCCCGGTGGTCTTCGCGACGCCCGCGACGCTGCAGGATCGCGCGGTGGGCTCATCTGCCGACGCGCAGCAGCAGCAGGGGCCGAGCCCATCGACGACGCCAACGACGAGCCATAAGTACAAGAAGTACCAGCGCGGCATCAAGGGCGCCACCAGCGACATCGTCAGCAACCCTCGCTACACGGCCCATGGCACGCAGGGCGCAAGCGTCAGCGGCAGCGACATCGGCAACCAGCAGAGCGCGGTAGTCTTGCATGTCGGCGCGAGCTCCAACATGATCATTGGCAACGCGGTCGGCAAGGGGGGCTGCGATCCGACGATCACGATGGGCGGCCAGTGCATGGGCGACAAAACCGGCCACGCGGGCGCGATGCCTACGATGGGCAGCAACGCGGGCACGGCGCACGCGACGCGCGCGATGCCGCGGCGGGAACCCCGACCACGCCGCCCCCGGCCTTCAGGGCACGCCCTCCGACGGCGCCGCCGCTAGCACATAGCGCGAAGCCGCCGGGGCCAGCCGATTTTACATCGGCCGCCGCGGCCGCGCGCCAAGCTCCCCCGCCGCCAGGGCGGGCCTCTTGCTAGGCCGAGGCCCTCGCCCAGGGGCGGCGCCCAAACCGTTTTTTTGAAGCAGGGCGCAGATCGAAACAAGGCATTGCTCTAACCTCGCCCTCACCGCCCTCAATTCCATTATCTTCGCAGCCTCGCCTCGCTCTTGCCGTCCTCGCCTCATCTCCTCACCTCGCTCTCGCAGGCCTCGCCTCGTCCCCGCCTCGCCCGCGCCTCTCCCTCGCCTCGCCCCCGCCCGTCGCTCAGTGCATCCCGCTTCTGACAGCCCATCCAGCAGCGATGCCCAAGTGCACGGCCTTGATCGGGGAAGTTCAACTATCCGCGGCGGGGGCGAGATATGGGACATCCGCCGTCGCATTCAAGCTTGCGACGCCCAAGAATGATTGGCGCCCCGCGGCCCTCGTGGACTCGCGTGCAGCGCGGGGCTCGTTTAGGGTTCTTGCGGTGACCATTGAGGCCATCTTGGGGCTCGCGTGGGCCCTGATTGGGGGGGCATAGGGGCCCTGGGGGGATCGGCGCGCAAATTGTTGCACCCCGAAGCGAACGCGAACCGAACTGGCCGCGACACCTGGAACGATGCAGTCAGCGCGTCGCGAATTAGCGCATCAATCTCTGTTGTTCCCCCAGTGCGTGCGTCACTCATCACCCGCGCCAGGCTCGCCGTTGCTCGAACCCAAATCTGCGCGGATTCATTGCCCACTTCACAGTGCAGGCGTCCCGCCTCGCACTGAGGATTGCCGAGTGATCGCCCCACAGAGCGCCGCGTTGCACGACGCTACAACAGCACAAGCGCACAAGTCAAAACAGCAGCCCGTAACCCTGTACAACCTTTAACATTGTCTCATCCAGTACACAAGGCTACGCATAACACATCACGTAACATGGCTAAGTCATCCCATGTATCACACGGCGCTTAAACGAGTACAGCACGGCCCACGCAAACAACCGCACACGTCGTACCATATAACAAAACGAATCACGCATCATGTTACACAGTGTAACACCATTGGGCAGATGCCAACACTCGCGTCGCATATGGAGCGGCGCAGTATGAAACAACAGCTACATGACACATCATACTCGTGCCTGGGCCACTTGCGACAATGCAGTGCACGAGCCTTCCTAAGTTCCGGGTGCGCAGCTGGCGGGCAAGTTGCAGGTGAGGCGCTGAACCTTTGAGCTCCGCTGTTCCAGCGGCGCAGAAGTCGAGGGCGCCCAGTCGCGCGATTTGGAGGGGTTCGACGGCAAGGTCATTTCTTCATCAGACAAGCGGCTCCCGCACGCGCTTTGCACCATTGCATTCAGCCTCGCAGAGACCACGTTCAGCCAGGCAGCGCCGGCGCGCGCCCCACGAGGGCCAGCGTTGTCCTCGACGGGTGGGCGCGCCAGATGAGGGCAATTAACAAATTCTGGGGTGCGTTAAATCTGTGGCGGGGCGGGGGCGGCTCAGCGGCCCCAAATAGTTGAGCAAATTCTGGCGCGTGCAATCGAAACTCGGGGGCTCCACGTCAAAAAAAGGATTGCCCCCCATCGGCGCGGCGGGGAGGGGGGGGCGAGACGATGGGGAGTTGCCGCCGGGGCCCGAGCCGCGGGCTAGGATGTCGAGGCGCCGACGTGCGATGTTGCACGGTGAGTCGGGCCTGTTGGCTGCGCCGTTCCGCCCCTGCACGAACTCCCCCATTCGCATTTCCGGGGCGACCGCCTGCCGCCCGGCGTCGGCGCGGCTGCCGGCCGCGCGGCTGCTAGACCTGAGCTCGCGCTGCGCGCTTGGTCACCGCTACGCAACTACGCATCATCGTCTGGACTGTTGGTTTTGTCGTCGCCGTCGCCCGCCCATCAACTGTTGCGCCCATGCGCGCGCGCTTTCCATCGCCCTCATCATCGCCCCACTCTCCCCACGCCGCCCCACCACCCCGCTCTACTCCTCCTCCGCCCACCCCCCCCCCCCCGCTCCTCGCCACCGCGCTCGCTCCGCGCGGCCCTCGTCGCCCCCCCCCCCTTCGCGCCCCCCTCCGCCCCTCCTCCTCCTCTCCTCCTCCTCCTCCCCCTCCTCCTCCTCCTCCCCCCCCCCCTCACCCCCCCCCCCCCCTTCCCCTCCTCCTCCTCCTCTTCCCCCCCCCCCCCCCCCCCTCCATCCGCCTCCTCCAGCGCCCCCCCCCCCTCCCTTTCTCTTCGCGTTTCGCGCGCGCGCCCCCGCCCCCCCGCCGCCCCCCCGTCCTCGCGCTCGCCCCTGGCGGCGCAGAGGTAACTTTGATGATGGCGTTTGGGGCTGCCGCGATGCGCGGGGCAACTTCGAGGGTAATTGCGGGGCCGCCTCGGCGGAGGATCCCTTTGATGATAATTAACTTGGCGGATGCCATCAGGCCAATGGTCGGGTGACTTTTGGCGCCGAGGATAAGTTTAGGTAACTGTAGGGCAACTTTTGAGCCCGTCGGGTTGGCGCCCGCCGCCAGCGGGCAACTCCGCTGCCCTCTCGCCGCCCTCGATCGTTGTGGCGGGGGCCGCGGGCGGCGCCGGCATTGCGGACTCGTGCCCGACGAGGCCGCGCGGAGCCGCGCGCGCTAAGCGCCCCCCCCCCCCCCCCCCTTTCCACCGCGGCCCGAGGCGAAAAACCGGCGTCGCAACGCGCGCGCTGCGCGGGCGCTAGAACACGCGCGGCTGGACACCGGCGGCATCGGGCCCAGGCGTGGGGGCGGGGCGCCGGCAGCTGCGCAAGACCTGAACCATGGCGCGCGACATATTGAACGGGGGCCACGAGGGCCTCCAGGCCCCGCCCACGAAGCCCTGCCCCCCCCCCCCCCTCCGCACCCTCCGCAGAAGCCGACGGCGCCGACCAGATTTGCCGATGCTAGTTTTGACGCGCGGCGAGCGCTTTACCACGAGCCACCGAAGCATATGTCTGCGCCGTTCCATCGCGGAGCCGTCGGGGCCCCGCCCCCGCGCGACGCCGCCGGGAACCCGCGGCATCGCGAGGCTTCCCGCGCCGACAGTCGCAGTGGCCCTGGCGCGCCCCCCCGCCCCCCCCCCAAAAAAAATAAACAAAAAAATGCCTTGCGACGCCCGCCAGGGGCCGGGCGAGGCCCCCCGCCGCAAGGCGCGCGGAAGTTTTCTAAGAGGCGGATGCGATCGCAACGCGCTGGGGCTTCGCCCATCGACGAACCGACGCCTCTCCCAGATGGCGCGGGCGCCTTAGGCGAGGCGTCGACGTGGGGCCCCGAGGCAAGCCGCGAGAATATCGGGCGCGCCCCCCCCCCCCCCCGCTCACGTCACTGGGCCGCGCGCAAAAAAAAAACAGCGCGGCGCGGCGGGCGCGCTCGGCGCGCAGGGGCATGGGCGCGCGGCGCAGGCGGCCGCGAATTTGCGATAGGGCGTCAGCAACTGCATTTGGCCACCCCCAGCGCCCCACGAGGCGCTGGTAGCGAGCCGTTACTGGCCACTGGCACATGGGCACTGGTCAGCGGCGCGCTGACGGGCTGCGGGCAATGCAGTCTCCGTGTTGGGCCGTCAGCTAATGGGCGGCATATGCGTTCGGAGTTGCCTCGCGCCGTGGGCAATGCGCGATTGACGGCGCGCGGTGGGCATTGGATCGCGCATCATTTGCACCAGGCGTTAGCGGTCTGCTGCGGCCACTGAGCGACAGGTCACGGGCATGGCGCGATGGATATCAAACGCCGAGGCCGCGGCGCGGACGTCGGGCAACGGGCAGCGGGGAATGGGCGGGCGCAGCGTCAGTGCGCACTGGGCACTGGGTTGTGGGAGGTGGCTCCTCGGCACGCCGTTCAGGGCCCCGCGGGTGAGGGGCGGCTCGCGCGGGCGGCGGCCGCGCGCGCCGAGTCGCCATCGTTATTAAATGGCGGTGGAGAGGGAGGGGGGTGGGGGTGGGGGGCCAGGGCCGCGCGAGCGGCTGGGAAGTGGGCGGTCGTCGCGCATCGCACGTTGGGCGCGAGACAAATGGCGGCAATGCGCGTCGGCCCGCGGGGGCGGGCAACGGCGCGCGAGTTGGTGGTCAGCGCAGCTCGCGATGCGCAATGCGCATTGCGGCAGTCGCGCGGCGTCCGATTGGGGCTGCGCGATGGGCAATGGGCAACGCGCCCATTGCCCGCGTCGAATTGCAGTCCAATGTTTGAGCCAGCCGCGCGCGACGGGAAGTGGGCCCGAAGCCCGAAGTCCGAAGTTTCCCCGATTGCGCTGCGCAGTTGCGAAGTCCGAAGCAGCGCTGGGCCCCGAGGCCCCTGCGCCTGCACGACGCAGTCCGAAGACCGAAGTCACGCCCGCGCCAGAAGTGACCAAAACTGCGCGGCGGGCTGACGCGCGCGAGTGCGCCCTGCGGGGGGTGCCGACCTGGCGCAATGCTTCGCTGGCCGCGAGTAGCATGGCGAGTAATCCGCGCCGCCGGCGAGAGACAGCCCGCCCGCGCCGACAACGGGGCGATCGCGGCGAGGGGGCGCCCTCTCTCCGCCAGCGATTGCCGGGCGCGGCGAGGGGCCAGCAGCAGGCTGAGCAGAGCGGGGCCGGCCCGAGCGGCGCGGCGCCGCTGCGTTGCAGCGGGGCGCCGCCTGCGACGACGCCCCTGGCGCCCGCGCCCGCGGGCCGAGCCCCGAACGAATCGACCGCGGCGCGCGGCGGCAAGACAGCCGGGGCGCTTGCCGCGACCTCGCGCCGAAAGAGAGCGGGGGCCGCCCGCCCGAGCCGTGGCGCAAGCGCCCGCGCCGACGAGGCCACTGCCCGGCGATGGCTGGCGGGCGGCCGCGGGCGCGCGCCCGGCCTTGAGCGCGCGCGTAGACGGCCCCGCTCGCGCCGACATCCAGCGGGGCGCCGCGCGACCGCTAAGTCTGCGAATGACCCCGCGGCGCCGGCCTTGGGTCGAGTCGCCCCTCGGAGCCCGCGTCGCTGATCGAGCGAAGACGGCCTGCCGACGCGGCAGTTCGGCGGGTGGGCCATCAGCTTGCGCCGCGCCCTTCCTGACCATGGGGATGGGTTCATCGCTGCGCGCTGCGATCAGTCTTTGGGCAGGTTCTGGGCGACCGCGGGGATGGGGCAAAAAAACGACAAGTCGATATCACCCAGCCCCCCGAATCGACATTTCGAAAAGGCAAACAATCGGCACCCAGCGATGTCCCAGCCGCAGCCGACGCGCCAACACCACCATCAGCGAAACAACGCTTTCACTAACGATGGCCATCGCGCCCGCGCCCGACGCCCACGAATCCCCCGGCCGGCGCGAAAAAAAAAAAACGAAACGAAACGGCCCCCATAAATGTTTGCGACCGAGCCCCAGGGCCCCCGCGGCAACTCGAGACCGCCCGCCCGCCCGATAACAACAGAGCATCCAGCTGGCATCCGATGGCCGAAACAGCAACTGGGCGATCTACCCGCAGAGCCGCCAACCACTGTCATCACAAAAGGGTCGAACGATCTACAAGCCCAAGCCGCATTATGCAAGCCACCGACCGATTTGTTTAATTGCGTCCTGTGTCCACTAACCATCCCCAACAGACATCCAGTAGCCCCTTATCGATATCCCGAACGCCCCCAACTGATACCTGCGACACTTCATCCATATCAATATAACCAGCGGTGATAAAAGTATTCGCGCGCTGCCACCGTGATTGCGCATGTTGAACATGTGCGATGTTTTCTGTCATCGAGGAGGCGCTCCGGCCTCTGGGCGCCCCTTCGCTCTCATGCGCCATTATGGGCCCATGTATTTCCGCGCAACGAACGGATGCGCTGGTGCCCCGCGCTTGGGCACCAGCAGCGAGGCAACGACATCATGAACAGCAAGCACCGAAACACACCGGCAACATGCCGACTAAAAGGAGGATCCATTATGTAACACAGGCCAAAAAGCACGCGCCCACGCGCGCTACAGAAGGACCCGAGAAAACCTCCAATGTGGCACCGACGGCCCCCCGGCAGGGCCCCCGCAAGACATAATCCGCGGCTTCCTCCCGCTCTCGACCTCCGTCGCATCTCTATCAGAGGATGCGCCTAGGCAGTGAGTCTGCGAACATGCAACCGCGTTGAATTGCGTTGCCTCGAGCAATAAATCGCGAGGACTACACGCTACATTGACTTGCGTTGCCTTACCTCTTGCACAATGCATTGCGCTGCATTGCGCGAGGGCCGCGCAAGGGGTTCCGCTACGCCACAGCGACCACATTCGCTGGCGCGCGGTTCTTGTGGCATTGCAGAACTGCGCCGTGCTTCTTCCTCCGCGGGAAGCGGCGCCCGTGGCCTGAGAGATTGCGATTCGTGCTCGTGATTCTGGCAGCGCGCAACCATCCTCCAGCCAACAGATCTGGTTGTCGACGACGCCCACGGCGAACCACCGCCGGCCAGACCTGCCAAGCTATCGGGCCACGTGTTCCCCGAATCGGGGAACACGTGGGCATCTTCAAGGTCATCTTGGCCGCCTGGATGCCATTTTGGCCCTTTCGGGCCTTTTTGGAGGACGTCTTGGAGGGCTCTTCGGCCCTCGTGGAGGCCATCTTGAGCGTCTTGGAGGCCTCTTCGGCCGTCTTGGGCGCCTCTTGGGGCCGTCTTGGGCTTCTTTGGCGATCCGCGGGGGCGCTTGGGCCGTCTCGGGCCGTCGGGGGGCCGACGGAAAGCGCGCGCCAGAATCCTTCAAAACTTCATGGGGGATCAATGATTTTGGCCTTCTCGGACCTTCCTGGAGGCCCGCGGGGCCGTCTTGGAGGCCATCTTGGGCGTGTTAAGAGCTGCATGTGCCGTCTTGGGGGCCTCTTAGGGGTCGCCCTGGGGGCCTCCGGGGCCATTCTGGGGCCATCTTGAAGGCCTCTCGGGCCATCTTCGGGGGCTCTTGGGCCGCGTCGGGCCGTCGGGGGGCCGAGGCGAGGCAAATTCAAAATCTATTGAACACCGATTGAAACTTTATGTTCTCGGGCTTCTCTGGCCTTCCTGGAGGCCCCCTCGGAGGCTTCCCGGGCCGCCTTGGGCCAGCTGCGAGCCAACTTCGGCCATCTCGGTGGGCACCTGGCCCGTCTGACGCCGTCGGGGAAGCGATTTGGGCGGCCTTTCCGGCAGTCCTGAGGCCGACTAGGGGCCTTCGCGGGGTGCCCCAGGGCCGTCTTAGTGGCCGCCTTGGGCGTCGTGGAGGCTTCTTCGGTCGCATGCGTGCCGTCTTGGGGCCGTCTTGGGGGCCTCCTGGGCAGTCCTGAGGCCATCATGGAAGCCTCTTGGGCGCTGTCGGGGCGATCTCGGGGGCCTCGTGGGCCGCCTCGGCCCGTCTGAAAGCGGAGAAGCAGCGACATCGAACATCTTTCAAAAACCGGAGGACAATCAATGATTGTGGCTTATTTGGGCCCTTCTGGAGGACTTCTTGGAGGCCTCCTGGGTCGTCTTGGAGGCTTCTGGGGGGCCTCTTGGGCCGTCTTCGGCCGTATTGGACTCTGTTATTGCGTGGGGGGCCGCTCTGGACCATCTTGGGCGGTTTTTCGGCCATCCTGGGCCTCGCCTCATCCGCCATTGCCCTCCTTGCTCAGCCTGAGCTCGGCACCCCTGCGATTCAAGCGCTCGGGCGGACATCGCGGCTTTCGGCCCATCCCGCAACATTGGGGCCGTGGTCGGTCTCTCGGAGGCTTGATGGAAGCAGTTATGGGAAGGGGGAGGGTCGTGTTTGGGGCGGGGGGGTATCTCTTGGGTTTGTCCGCGGCTTCTTGTGGCCTTTGGGGGGTCTCTTTGGGGTTCTGGGGATCCTTGCTCCAGAACTGGGGGTCTCGGATCCCATGGGGGCTTCTTCTTTTTTTGATTTGGGCCACCTCATTAATCTTCAATCCATTGGGTTGAGGGCAACAGCGGTGGACCCGCGGGCGCGCCATCGTGCGCCTAGGGGCACGGTGGCAGGCATTTGGTTGGGGCACTACAGACGCAGATCGTAGACTTTCGGCATTTTGTGATTTTAGCATTCGCCTCATCGAAGGCATTCAAAGTTGGCCCCGCATTCAAGCGCTGAAAGTGCAGCGCCTTGTCCACGAGAGCGCTCAGCGCGGGGCGGGGGGTGCATCTTGACAGCCGGGGCCCCATGAGCAGCGCCGCTGGCGCGAGCAACGTCGGCAGCCAGCGCGGCGGAGGCGGCGGCGGCAGGGGGGCTTCCAAATTGAGGTGGCAGGGGGGCCGCCCCTCGCTTCCCATCGCCAAACCTCCTGCCCCGAAGGCAGTCAAAGTTGGCCCCGCATTCAAGCGCTGAAAGTGCAGCGCCTTGTCCACGAGAGAAATGGCTCAGACGATCTGCACCAAAAAGGACGGCGACAATAGAGATTTCGAGCAGCCAGTCGGCGACGCTTGCGACGGCTGCGGCGGCACTCACAAGAAGGACTTCAGCCGCGTGCCATTGGAGGTTTTTTGCGCGTTGGACAAGGCCCGAGATCGAGGCCGAGGAGGGGGCCATGTCGGGCGAGAAGAAGAGATTTCAATGACGCCCGGGTGAGCGCACCCAGCTCACCTCGCCCCTCCCCCCCTCTTCATGTTCTATCCCCCTCTCTCTCTCTCTTCTCCTTTTCTCTCTCTCTCTTTCTCTCTCTCTCTCTCTCTCTCTCTCTCTCTGCTCCTCATCTCTCTCTCTCTCTCCTCTCGCTTCTATCTCTCTCTCTTCATCTTTCTCGCTCTCTCTTTCTCTCCTGCAAACCTGCAGCTCGGCACGACTCAGCCCACCGCACGCGAAGCGCCCCGCCTCGGAGTCAGACTCACCAGGCCTCGCGAGACCGGAGGGGTCCCAGCAGGACCCTACTGATTCGCGTCACCTCCCCTCACCAGAGCGCCCGCAGCAATGGCCCCCAAGAAGCCGGAGCGCCGTCGCTCTTCTAAGCAGCCTCCGAGTACCCGCCCCACGCGCCCTGCTGCTGAAGGGTCTCTTCTTCAACGCAAGCAGGACTGCATCGCAGCGTTCAAGCAAGCGGGGTCTGACCGCCCCACGGCCGCTTACAACGGGCTTGCCGAACTGAACGCGGACGAGCTCCAGGCAACGTACGACATGCACAAGTCCAACACGAAGAAGCTTGGCAGCGCCCTGATCCGCATGTGCGCCGCCAACCAGATCAGCTACACGCTTGATCATCACCAGCGCAGCAAGCCTAAGCGCATTGGCGGTGACACATCACACCCACCAGCGGGTTCCGCACGTCTTCAGGCTGCGGACACCCAATTCATCGCCTTGGACCCGGCCTTTTGGAAGGTCCCTGTCCTCGCCGAACCCACATCACCTGACGACGGCAAGACGTACAAGCCCAGTATCAGCCTCCACGACTACGAGAGCGGTGAACGGCTGCTGCAACACCACCTCGAGCAGGGCAAGCGAGCCACGGGTCAGCTCGCGATTGCTGTCATGGGCCCAAAAAACGACAACTACGTCGGTACCGAGCTCGCCGTCCCCGTCCTGAAGCGTCACCCCAAGGCGCCCAAAGTGGTCCACACGCACGTCCCCGTGACCGTGTACCAGCTGGGCACCAAGGAGGTCGCCTGCACGGAAAAAGTAGCCGTCGCCACCATCGACCCTGCCGACCACGTCTGCTGGATTCGGGCGACCATACACGAGACCGAGGCCATTGCCGCAGTCCCCTCCATGCACCAGGCCTTCGAGGACCAGTTCTCGGGAGGAGCCCCCGTGAACGGTGGTCCACGCGCCAAGGGCCCTTTTCGAGGGGACTCCGCCCCACAGGACAAGGCGCGCCAAAACCAAAAGCACAGGGAGTCCAAGAAAGACGCTCGCCGCCAGGAGCTCGATAGTCAGCTTCAGGATACCTTCAAGGCCCTCTTCCACGGCAACTTTAAAGCCGTCACCATCCTCGAACCCTGCAAAAGCCTAGGCAGGTTTGGATCGGGCGTCGGAAAGAGGTCCCTGGCTGCCACCTTCGGCGTCAGTCTTCAAGCGGTCGACAAGGTCCTGGCGGGATCAGGGCAACTCGGTGCCACCTACGACCTCAGCAACGTAGGTGCAGACGAGCCCACCGCCGACAAGTATCAGACCGTGTGGTTCCCTGAGGACCAGCCCATCACGATGGCAGACGCGTTCCAGAAGTCGGTGGAGTTCAAGGCCCTGGGAGTCGTCAGGCACGGCAAGTCTGGCCTACTGGGGATCCGTGTTCCACGGGGGTCCGACGCCGCCAAGGCTGCTGCTGTCAGCATCCGTGGCTGCGAGGCTACCCTCGCCAAGACGCGTTACCGCATCACTGGCATTGCGGCGCGCCACGCCACGCTGACCCAGCTCGCCAAGACTCTCACGGGCCCGTCCGTTAAATGGGACTGTGAGGTCTACCACACCGCCTGGGACCCAGCCACTGCGGCCCAGTTTGCCTTAGTGCGCGCCCATCGGCCCCCACTCACCTATACGGTACAGGTCGCGGGGTGCCCCATCCCGTGGAGCATCACCGAGGCCCCGCTGGCTGAGGTGGTGCCGAAGCGGGACAACGTTACCATCGTCACGCCTACCATCCATCACAGAGCCTGTGACGCCGCCAGCCCGTGGTGGCGGCTTTAGCCCCGCCACCGGCACACTCCTCACCAAAGCGGCCCAGAGCCCCTACCTCCACGACCTCATGACTGCCACGCCCAAAGGCAAGGGCGTCGCACCGCTCCTGATCCCCAAGGAGGAGCCTTCAGCCAAGCGCCACCGCTCCTCCAGCGGGAAACGTGACGCCACGCCGCACGCAAGGCCACCCTGCGCCCCAGGCCGCAGCTCCTCTGCACCCCCGCACGGCACGGACAGAGCCGCTGAACCGATGGCCGCCCCAGGATCAGGTGGCCATGACTCCTGGCTTGGCACGGCGGCGGCAGAAGGTGGGGGCCACACCGAAGGCGACGCTGCCACAGCCGCCGAAGTACCAGGCGACGTCGACGACGTCGAGATCCTCTCATCAGGTGATGAATACAGCGTGGCCTCCCACGAACTCAACACCTTCGGCGAGCGCTTCGCATCGGCCTCTAAACCGCCAGATGCTGCCACGACCCGCATCCAGCACATGGAACAGCAGCACGAGCTGCTAGCCAACACGGTGGATAACATGCAGGTGCAGCTTGCGGGCGTTCTCTCCTCCCAGGCCACACTCACGGAGCACGTTTCAGGGCTGGAACGGGGGCTTGCCACCGTCGTCACCCAGCAACAGACGGCAACCGCCGACGCCGCTGCACTGCGCGGCGACATCCAGACCCTCCTCGGGCACCTCACGGGAGGCACCATCCACCTGCCACAAGTGGCCACTCTGGAAACTAAGAAGGAGGAAGCTGCAGCGGCCGCCGAACCCGTGGCTGCCTGCGGTTGGATCGACCAGCCAGGCCAGGTCACCCCAGGGACGGGGCCCCCAGGGGCCGACAAAGGCAAGGACAAGGGTCGGGCCACCCAGGAACCCTATTGAAGGTGCCTCAGAGAGCCCGCCTCAGCCCTCCGAGGAAGCGCCTTCAGAGGCATCTCTCCCCTCTTCGCGTCGTATCTCTTTCTTGTCACCTCATGTCTGTTTTGGCAGCAGCACGCGCAAGCTATCTGGTGTAGGGACACCCGTAGTCTTGCAGGGGGCGTGATTGTAGCAATGTGCATGAGCATTCAGGGGTATTTGAGGACGTGTGCTGACATGCAGCTTTCGGCTCATCGCTCGCGCCGCCCGCCAGGCCTCGCCATCATGTGGCGCCTTGCCTGCAGCCTGGCCCTCCCCTCGCTAGCTGGAGCGCACCCGTCTTCAGGCGGTGCGCCCGAGCATGGAGGAGAGGTTTTCCTGCGATACGCTGAACGTGGGACGCTCTTCTACCTTTACGATGACAGCATCTACAAATACGATCACTGCGCCATTTTGGACCCGATCGTGAACAGCACCGCCGCCGCGGGTCCGTGCGGCAATGGGCCGCTGGGCGCCATCGCGAGTGCCTGGCTTGAGCAGCACCAGGGGCCCTGCCCCACGCGGTGCCCCCCTGGGACTCCGACGGCTACTACGACGGCTACGGCGAGTACCAGCATGTCTCCTACGAGCACGTCCTCGTCAACTACGACACATGCATCGCAGTCCGTCCTCAGCTTGTCCTCGACCGTCGTGCAGCACATCCTCCTCGACGGCCGCTGACAAGGCCCAGGCACGCAGTGGCGGCTTCAGCCCCGCTGTCGTGCCCCGCTTTAGCCCCACGGGTCTCACTACCCCTCTGTGCGCCAGGGGCGAACCCGAGGAGGACCCCGCTTTCTGGCACCTGATGATGATCCGAGCACGGCTCATACCGTGTGCCGCGGCGTGGGCACCAGGTGAGGACCACCAGGACGTGTTCTGGGCATGGCTCGAGGACTGCGTCCCGTACATCCTGGCGACGCTCCATCTGCCACAGTACGACCACTTTTTCCAGGAGGATTCCGAGGAGAAAAACGACGCCCTGCGCCAGCGCACCGCGTTCGACATGTGCGAGGACATCTGGCACAGAGCGGGCCCCGACAGACAGCGCACCAACCGCAACCTCACTCGTATCCAGGGCAGCCGCGAGTACCCCACCCGCTACTTTGGCCTCCTTCTGGAATACCAGGGCGCTCGTGCCCAGCTCGTCGGCCCTGAGGCTTTCACGGCACCATTGCCGCCATACCTCTCACGGGCCCACGCCTTGCTGCCAAGAGGCCTCCCTCCACCCGACCAAGACGCCCTGGCGTACCTCGCGGATGCGATCCTGCACCACCCGCCAGACATGCAGCCGCTTGTCGAGGCGGAACTCGCCGCGGCACCGATGGAACCGCTAAACCTACCACCGCCAGCTGGCCCCCTCGCCCAGCACGCCACGAGTGACCAGCCCGCGGCTGACGCCGAACCGCTTCTGCTCCAGCACACCGCGGCCAGCGATATCAGCAACATACCCCTAGACTCTTTTCACGCGTCGGACGATAGCCAGGACGACATGGAAACCCAGGATCGCGACGGCACGGCACCGCCAGGTGACACAGCCCAGCGTGACCGTGACAGCGAACCCTACATAGGGCGCCCCCTGTCGCACAGCAGTCCGCCCAACAACTCGGCCCAGGCCGACCCCAGCGCACAGCTCAACGACGCTGAAGGCGCCACTGCCGCCGACGAGACAAGCCATCCCACTGCATCGCCAGCTCTAACCAGCCCGCGCAGTGGCGGCTTCAGCCCCGCTGCAGCATTGGCTGGATCTGGACGTCTTCAGACCTCAGGTGGCAGAACCACGCCCCGCACCCTTGTCTGCCGTGCTAACGCGACTGACTCCAATTCCAGCGCCGTCGACCACTGGCAGGCTGGCATCGACAACGACCCCATCGACGACGCGAGCCCTGACGCCAGCGGCTCCTACGAGGCCCCGCACAGCGCAGCGGCCTCCCGACGCTGCGGCTGTCTCATTTGTCTCTTCGTGGCCACGTATGCCATCGTGGTAGCCATGCCGTACAAGGACCAGATCGACGGGTACTTGCCGACACCGAGCCGAGACCCCAGCTACCGGCAGCGACGACGACGTGAAGCGGCGGCACCAGGCACATCTGTGTCCACTACGCCCCGACGCACAACGGCATACAACGTCACGCCCGCCCTGTGGGGTATTCTCAAGTGGACCAGCGCCAAACTCAGAGATATCGTCTCGGGCGGAGCCAGCGCAGTCGGGTCTGGCCTCGGGGGTGTCCTGAAATGGGCCAGTGGCAAACTCGGAGCTATTGCCACTGGCGGAGTGGTGTGCGGTCTTCTTCTGGTCGGCGCCAAACTCCTCGCTCAAGGAGCCGTCGGACACGTAGGAGCCCGCATCTGTGCGCGCGCCCTGGACTCATCCACGGCCCAGTGGTGCCTCCGCTGTTGCCAACCGAGCAGGAGGCCGCGTGATGAGGCCACACACAATGCCGCGCACGCATCCCGACGAACCCGAGAGCCAGCACGTGCACTCACTTCGACACCCGCTGCTACAGGAACACTATGCTGCTGCAGTTGCCGCCGCAGTCGCCGATGTCACCACCGCCACCACCGCCGCCATTGTCGAAGTCACTGCCGCGGTATCGCGAGCCTCGTCTGTCACACCACGATCGACCAGCCCGTCCCCGCGAGACGGCCCCATAAGTGGTGCGGCTTATGGCAACCCACCGACTCACGAAGACGCCACAGCCCATGCCAGCGACGCCGAGGCAAGGGAAACACGTGAGCGCACCCTCGACAGCCCGTGGTCCATCTTCCGACATGCAGATGCTCGTGGTTCCTCTTCCGACATGGACACCCAACCACCACGACGGCGAGCACGCTATGCATCACCCGCCAGGCCCCAGGCGCCTCCAGGCCCTGGTACGCCCCACCCAGCCCTCAGGCCACCGACGCGCAACTTACGCAACACCATCCAGCGCGACCCAGCGGTCCCCGTGCCGCCGACGAGCATCCTCACCGCCCTGTACCAAAACGGCTTTGCGCTTGGTAACAGTGGCGTAACTACAGAGGACATCAAAGACGCCCTGCGACTCCACGACCATCCTCGATTCACCCATGATCCAACGCTCCAAGCGTTGGCGCCGTGGACTGACATCATGCAGAGGCCCCCGAACCGACTCACTTGGGTGCTGGAAGACTCGGGCGGGAACTCAGGCGAGACGATCTTCCCCTACCTCACGTGGGACCTCCGTCAACCCACCACTGACACGCCCACGGTCTTCTGGCACGGGACCCGCGGCGACCTTGCGGCTCGTCTCGCTTTCAACGGAGGTCACCTCCTGCCAGGCCCCCGCCGTGAAGCGAAGGGTCGAACCGCCACAAATGTTGGCCGCACGTACGTGAGTGTGCACCCGTCGCTGGCCGCGTGGTACGCAGTGCCGCCTCACCCGCCCTACAGCCTCGAAGACGACACCCTCGCGTGGGGACCCATCGCGCTCTGGATGTGCGAGGCTACCCAACCGCCGCGCGGTGAGAACTGGCACAACTTCGTGAAAGGGAGGCCCACGGAGCGCGCCTCATCTACCCTCGGGTCCTGGGCCTCCTCATCCGCATGGACTGGTGTGCCCCCACGGAAGCTGCCTCCAGGTGCCGTGCCCTACCACAAGCCTATGGCATGGGCGACTGTGCGCACGCCCTCCACATCGCCGGCTACGATCATCCAGACCTCCGCGAGGCGGCTGAAGCCCGCGACCAGGAAGCTAACACCTGGCGCAGGCTGGACATCGCGGCAGCGTGGCCACCGCCGCAGGCACTATACTCGCCAGAGGCAGCGCGAGCATGGGCTAAACAGCACTACGACACCGAAGCCGCCACCAGGGCCGACCCCAACCAGCCCCGTCCACGCGTCTCGCTTCGCAAGCTCCAGCTGGACCCGCAGCCACTGATCGACCTGGTGTACACTGGCTTGCAAGCCGTCCCCGTGCGGGGGCAGTCCGACGCACGAGAGCCGCGCCCCAGCGGCTCCAGCCCTGGGGCCGCGTCTGGCCCACCGCGCACCTACCAGTCAGGTGCCGCCCTGGGACACAGTCCAGACCGCTCATCGACGACATCGGGAGCCGACGACCGCCGTACGCCGTCCCTCATCAGCGCGGCCGCCGCCCTCGCCCGAGGCCATGCCCGCCCACGGCGATCCGCCTCGTTCGTCACGGCAGAGCGGCGGAAACTCCACCTCGGACAACAGCGACATCGAGACGTGGGAGCACATCGAGACGGAAGAGGAGCCGACCGCCTACCACGTCCTCGCCTTCCACGTCCGCGATGTGCGGGCCCGTGTCAATGCCCCTGGCATCGAGGTCTGGCTTGACCCGGGCGAGCACCACGACGGCGCCTACTTACCGTGGGGGACGACCGTCATGGGCCACCGCGTTATCGACCCTGCGGTTGCGGGTCGCGACGGCTGGGTCATCCTCCACCACGACCATGGCGATACCACTACCAGGCTCTGGGCACCGACCCAAGTCCACGTCAAGGCGGACGACACTTGGCGCACGGTCATGATCCCAGCGGACCTGGGGCCCCAGTGGATCGAGCGCCATGCTGACGACGCTCGCCTCCCCGCCGAGGTGGTCCGCACTACAGGCCAGTCCTGGTTCGCCGACGTCTGGCCCTTGTGGGATCGACCCCGACCCCACCCAGACGACGCAGGCACCAACGAGCAAGCGCTCCCGCCCCTACCAGGACGCTGGACATGCCTACAGTGCCGATTCCAATGCTGTCAGTACTGTGCGGCCCGCCGCAACACGCAGCTCGGCACCTCGGGCCAACCAACGTGCCCAGACTGCTCCCTCAGCGGACTACGTGCACTTATGGACTGGTCCACGGACTACTCTTGCAACAGCTGGACGTGTGCGTACAGCACCGACAACAGGGACTCCGACACATGCTGCCTCTCCAGCAGGTGCCCCCATCCGCCTAGTCCGCACAGCCTGTTCGACGTCCGTGCCACAGGGATGCCTCCGCACATCCTTGCCCGCCAATACGGCAACGCGCCAGCCCAGCACGACCTCAAGGAACCCCCCCGAGCGCCTTCAGGCCCCGGGGGGGAGCCTCCACAACCAGGCCAAGCAGGTTACCAGGGTCAATGGTATCTTCCACCGAGGCCGCGTCGCGTCCTCAAGCAGGGATTGCCCGACGGCACGAGGCGGCCACCTGGGTTCACAGGAACGGGGATGCCTGAAGATCCGTCCCCCGACCAACCGCTGTGGAGGGAAGGCTACGTGCTCTTCGGCCCCCACCAGGCCCTCAAGGAGGACTTCATCTTCAACAAAACGGTCCGCCGACCTTACTCCCTAGCCATCACCAACATGCATAGGGATCGTGTCACAGTCAGGACCGTCTGCGAGTCTATCGCCGAGCGCATCCACACTACCCGCACCCGCTGGCGAGATGTGGTACTGTACTGGGATGCCGAGGGCGGCCCTGGGCCTCAAGCTCTCGACTATGACATGCGCCTCTGCGACGCCATGGTGAGCCGTGCCACGACCGAAGCCGAGCTGAACCACGACCGCAGCAACCGTGGTAGTTTCTGTCTCTATGGACCAGCGCACCAGCGAGCTGTGAACATCACGGTGCTCCCCGAGCC